GGGGTCAAAGTTAAAATTAACAGTCGCAAATTTAAATTTATGTCTATGGAGACGCGGAGGAAAGGGGGGGCGGTGGTTCGTTACATTTATTTTCTGCTGTTCTTCAAGTATAATATATAGAAACGTTTACTACCTGCAAGTCTTAGAACGACGGCGAATAGACATAAGAGCTTATTTCCTCAGACAAGCCTCCATAAGCTGCCAGAAACATGTTCTGTAAGAGGCTTTTTTCACTTCTCTAAAATGAAAGAAGATCGAGGTTGTCACTGAAACAGTACCTCACGATATGACTCTTGGAGCTATCACCAAACGTTGACCACTGCTGACCACCTTATTGAAAAACATTGTTCCTGCAACTTGTCCTCGCTGTGAGAGTACTACAGAGGCGAGCTGGTTTCGATTAACTCTGACATCTCCTCAACTTTCATCAAGCCTAACTGATTCTAAGAAGTTACGCACATTCTCAGGTTTTGATCACAGACAGATATCATAGACGAGTGGTGGACAACACTGTCACCTAGGTTCACTGCAGGGCTTTTTCACTATTTTCTCGTCAGGAAGAGAGCGAGACGTGTGTACAACGCCTAGTATACATACTGTATATATGACCTAAGAGTAGAGAATATTTTCTGGGAAGCGAGACTTCCTGTTCCGACACCATTGACAACAAAATATACCCAATTCAATGTGTGCATCTGCAACTATCCATCGCTACCGTGAGCTAAGAATTTTTCGTTTGTGTGTTTCATACACGCTTGGTTAAACTTTAACGCCACACCCTCATCTAAGACGCTCAGGTACACTACTTTTACAGGCCTGTATTTTGTTCTACTACCTTGAAAGGTGAAGAATGGAATCTCAACAAGCTGGCTCTGTCTCGACTCGTAACTCAAAGCATGGCCGCCATTCATGGCTAATTGGAAGCAGCTGGTTCATCTACAGATCACCTGACAGGCTGCAACCAGAGGTTGTCATTTTAAATAGAATTGCTGCTAATAAAGTCATTACGACGGGTGCATTGACTGCGACACGCCAAAGATGCTGATGATCAACTCCGTCCCGCTTCTTCTTCTTCTCTTGTGCTGGTGCCAATCAGAAGTGCGAATCAGTGTTAGAGTCGTGAGCTGAAAAATCAATTTCCTTCACGTTTAAGGCTCAGCAACGGTGTCAGTTGCTGCCACGTCAGACCAGCGCTCTTCAACGATTCCGCGGCCTGAATTCCACACTGCGGATCCAGCGGTTATTTCCGTGGTTGGCCTTCATATCCACTTCTGATGCATTGAGCAACATCAACGCATCCGCAACGCTGATCCATGTGGACGACAATTTCTACATCCTGACCGCTGCTGCGGCGGTACGTGACAAGTAAGGATGTCTGGTGGCCTGAAATTACGTAGTATGTTTTTTTCTGTGCCATATGGTCTGAGAAAAACGGTATGCGAAGCTCAGAATATTTTTTCTATTGAACTTGGCATTATCACGCACATCCTTTCTTCAGGAACTTATTAGGTCATTGTTCCACCGAATTATTGCACATTATTGAAATTATTGAGTAAATAGGAAGATCACAATAAAAATCACGGGGTTAGTTTTTGTTTCCGACAGCGTCAATGGTTACTTTCGAGTGTAGACCCGAAGAGGTGGTGGTGGCAGACATCTAGACAGGCTTGATGTTCAGCCAGAGCTTATCCTGACAGAGAGGCCACTGCTGCAATAAGTGCAAGTACTCTTCCATGAAGGTAGGTGAAACAGTTACGATTTGTTCGATCGAATGGATGAAGACCCCAGGGAAGGTCAACAATGACCGGGGAGAAGTGCATGGACCCTGGTGCAAACTCGAGTTTTCTCCAGCCGTGGCTCAGACGATGTCATAGGATCGGGAAGGCCAGAAACTCTCGCTCGCTGATGCTGCTGTTTTCAGGAATCGGAATAATAGACCGCCATCAAAGTAACTCGATGAGTGAACTTTCACTGATGTCGTGCTCTGCGAGTGAATGTGATCATCCATTCCAATTCCACCGCTACTAGACGAGGAAGAAATCATTTTCTTTATTCAACGGTTCGATCAATTATATATCGGTCATAATTAACATACATCACAGGTTGCATCCTCGTCTAGCATGAAATATTATTTTTTCTTTCAAGTATGGACGCTGCCTTCTCAACGTTCAAACTTTCTTTCATTCGCCAATCGTTTCCTCCACGATAGAATGTTAAGGGGAGAGGATGAGCAAAGGTCACATATGGTACGATCAATAATCCATCTCTCCTATCGGTGAGATGAACGCTGCCTCTGCCTTACCAAAGAGTATAAATACTGTGAATGAAAGACGAAGAAGGAAGCTGAAACACCACCGTTTCCATTTATTCCCACAATTGTCAGTGCCTATGTATTGCCCTATCATTTTGGCACTCTGAATGGGGCACTGTGAATCTTTCCATCTGTATTTTATTTGAACCAATAAAACCATTTAGTGCTGAACTGGCAGAATCGAATAGAATTTTTCTTGGAGCATCTTCGCTGTGCGATCCCATTCCGCCTGACAGACGAGTGAATATTCAATCAGCGATAATACAGCAAAGCATACCTGCGTTTTCACTGAACGACATGGCACTTGTTCGACTGAAGGAAGAAGACGATTTGAAGAAGCGCATTATATATAGTGGTGATATTCAGGGTGCCTTCATACCTGATGGCCCTCAGGTGTTGAAGCCCGGTTTTCAGTTTAACATGATGGCGGTGGAAGTAAGTTAACCTGCTGTCTCACGGCATCGTCATTCATAACATCGTAATGTTTTAGTATGCTTGTTTGGCAGTGACGAAGTGCTGGCGATTCGAAGTTGTTCATCAATCAGAGTGTCAGGCGTTATTCCAAACCTTCAGCTGTCGAGCGCATATTTGCGCTAGGTTCAAGGGCAAGAATCCTGACGACATCTACGTAAGCCTGTATTTCATTATACAAAAATTGTGATGGGTGCTGAAGCAAGATTATTAAGGAGTTCTATTATTCAAAGCACTAATATTGGCTACACTTTAGACAAGAATTAATGTTCATTTTAGCACTTTAAAAACATCGTGGTCAAAGAATCCTCCTTCAGAGGGACAGATCACAATAGAGGGATTTCAGGGGATTGTAAACGACCTGTTCTGAGGATACATCACTTGAACAGACAAGGAGAAATCACAGCACAAAAGGAAAAGGTCCACGGGTTAAATGTCATGGCGAAGCTGCATGCAACATCGCAAAGGGTAGGGGGCAAAGACAAGACAACTATGCAACAACATCGTAGCACCCTGCTGTCCAACTCATCGACGTATCCAATGGTCAAACTACCGAAGCCGTTACAAAGTTTTCCTGAATTACCACGGCGACATGAAAGGAACAACTTTCGTTTAAAATGAAGTTTAATTAGCGAATTAATGAAATAGTGCACAAAAAAGGAATAAGTTATTAAAGGAAAAATGTTTGACCTCGTTTTTTCATGTTGATTTCGCTTAGACTTCCACAGAGGGTAACAATTGTGATACCCTCATTCTCACTAACCTTATAATGCGACGCTTATTTCTATTTCCATGCCTTCAGTCAGATGGACCTGAGTTTAAAGTATAGTCACTGCAGCCCTGTGACGAGGGCGGCATTTGGTAACTTATTACCATTTCTATGAAGCGATACTAATTCTTCTCTTGTCGAATAGCCT